CCCTCTCTGAAGAGGATTTTGACCATGACAAACTCAAGTGGTCAACTGACTGTGTCCAAGTCTCAGGACTGATATCGCAGACTTGACTAACTGTACAAAAACAATATAAAGGACAACCCTGAAGGCTCTGCATCTGAAAGCGCACAGCATTCAAAATAGTGCAATGAACTGATTGTGCAAATCTGATTAGTTAGCCATCACGGTGACATGGCTGCAGGAACATTGAGGAGTATAGGACATTCAGGAAGCTAGGAAAGAAGTAGAGGGATGATATGTTAATTAGTGAATAGAGAGGATGGTCTAAGTTTAAGCAACCAGGAAAAATGGAAGCAGTTAGGATAAAGATGAGAAATAATAAAGGCAAATTATTTGTGGTAGTGGTCTACAGGCCTCCTTGCAGCTGCCATGAGGTCGAATGGAGTATCAAAGAATAAATAATGGGTGCTTGTCACAAAGATACGGGAAAAATCATGAGGTTTTTTAATCTACATTTAGGCTGTCAATAACTGGTGAACAAAGGTAGCCTAGATGAGGAATTAGTAGAATGTTTTCAGGATAGTTGCTTCAAATAAAACATTCTGGAGGCAATCAGAGAGTAGTCTACGCAAGGCCTGGTATTGTGCAATGTGATAAGATTAATTAAAGACGTTATTGTGAAGGTGCCCCTAAGTAGCAGCGATCAGTATATGACTGCATTTTACATTCAGCCTGTGTGAGTCTTAGGCTAGAATTTTAAACAGCTATACGGGAAATCATGAGGGCATGAAAGCAGAGCTAGCTAAAATGAACTGGCAAATTAGGTTAAAGGATAGGTCACAGAGATACAGTGACAGACTATTAAGGGGATATCTCAGAATATACTGAATAAATAGATTTAACCAAGAAAGAGCAAATCCATGGGGAAGACCCATGACCCATAGCTAACTAAAACAGTTAAAGATATTGCTAAACTTAAAGAAAAAGCACGTCAATGGGCAAAGATGGACAGCATGTCATAGACGGAATAAGAAAACAGGAAAGAATGACTGAATGACCAATATGAAGAAAAAAATTAGAGGATGAGTGAAAGTGAGCTAGAAAAATTAAACCAGATAGTAAGAGATTTTATGAAATACTTTTAAAAAGACAAGAATTTACTAAGTGAACAATGGTCCTATATCAAGTGCGTTTGGTTGATTAACGAGGGAAAATAAGGAGATAGCAAATGAACTAAACAAGTATTTTGTATCTACGATAGTAGGAACTGCAGATGCTGGAGAATCCGAGACAACAAGCCTCTCTGCTCCTATGATGCTGCTTGGCCTGCTGTGTTCATCCAGCCCTGCACCTTGTTGTCTCTATTTTGTATCTACCTTCATTTCAGTGATTTAAACAACATTTTAAAAATATTTGTATATGGGTAAATGGAAAGAAGAGAAGAACACAGGAAAATTACTACCATCAGGGAAATGGTGCTGCACAAATGGTTGGAGTAACAAGTTGACAAGTCCCAGGGTCTTGCTGGACTTCATTCTAGGGTTTTAAAAGGAGTGGCTAATGAGATATTTGGTCCAATAACTTTACTTTTACAAACTTCCCTAGACTCAAGAAAGACTTCATTAGATTTTAAAATAGTGAATTTAACTCCTTTATTCCAAAAGCAGGAAATTACAGGCTAGCTGGCTTGACATTTGTCACAGGGAAATGTCGAAAGTTATTATTAAGATATTATAGGAGGGCTCTTAGGAAAATAAATCAAGGTAATCAGGCAGAATCAACATGACTTTGAGAAAGGGAAATACATTTGCCCAATTTATTGGAATTCTTTGAAGAAATAGCCTGTGCAGTGAATAAAGCGGACCACTGGATGCATGGTACTTAAATTTCCAGAAGACGTTTGATCAAATGCATCATCAAAGTTATCGTAGAAAATAAAAGTTTGTGCCATGAGGTAATATACTGACATGGACGGATGTCTGGCCAGCTAATAGGAAACAATGAGTCAACCTAAATGGGTCACTTTCTCTTTGGCAAGGTATAAAAAGTAATGTGCCAGAGGGATCCATGCCAGAAGCTTCCAAACCCCGAATCACTTCCATCTCGAAGGACAAGGGCAGCAGACACATGAAAATACCACCACCTGCAAGTTTCCCTCCAAGCCACTCACCATTCCGATGGAAATATATTGCCGTTCCTTCAGTGTCGCTGGATCTAAATCCTGGAATTCTCTCCCTAATGGCATTGTGAGTGTACCTACAGCATGTGAACTGCAGTGTTCAAGAAGTCATTCTCAAGGGCAACCAGAGACAGGCACTAAATGCTGTGTCAAAATACTTTCGATAACAATATAAAGGTATCTTGGGAAGCCTTATTATGTTAAAGGTACGATTATCGTTGTCGTGTCTTATCCAAAACAACTGCCTCTCCAGCAATGCAACACTTGCTTCAGTAGTATTTTGAAGTGGCAGCTCAGACCAGGAATTCATTGATAGGTTTCAAGGAATGTACCAGAGCTCCAAATTGTAAAATGGTTTTGCTCTGGCAGAAATGGTAGAATAACAGAAGAAAGTCAATTGACCTATAATATCACGTATCTCTCTGTACTTGTATATTGAATCTTTATACTGAAAAAATACATGTATTATCTGAGCTAATGGCTGACATGTATCCAGGATCTGATAGCCTGCATCTTAAAAGAAGTCTTGTTATAAAGGAAATGGCTGTAGCTGTAGAGCTAGTGGATGCATTGGTTATTATGATCCAGAATTCCCTAGATTCTGAAAAGGTTCCAACGGATTGAAAATTCACAAATATTCCATGTCTATTCAAGAAAGGAGAATGAACAAAAGCAAGGAACCATAAGCCAATTAGCCTAACACATGTCATTGGGAAAAATGTTAGAACCATTATTAATGAAGTAATAGCAAGACATTTAGAAAATCTTAATACAGTCAGGCAGAGTCAACATGGTTCTGTGAAAAGGTAATCATATTTGACAAGTCTTTGGAGTTACTTAAGGAAGAAAGAAGGTTGATTAAAAGGAAACCTATATGTGTAGGGTACTTGGATTTCCAAAATTTATTTGACATCTCATCAACTTACCAATATGCAAATTAGGCGCAGGAATGGGAATGGACCATTTAGCCTCTCAAGTATGCTCCGTCATTCTGATCTGATTACTCCTTACTCTCACCTACCCATTTTCATATTAAAAATCTATTTGCCTCTGCCTTAAAAACATTCAAGGACTATGCTTTCACCACCTTTTGGTGAAGGCAGTTCCCAAAGCTCACAACCCTCTGTGAGAAAAGAAAGCTCCTCATTTCTGACTTATTTTTAAACAGTGACTTCTAGTTCTAGATTCGCCTACGAAAGGAAACAACCTTTTCACATGAACCCTGTCAAAGCATTCAGCCTCTTATTTGAATCAATCAAGTCATCACCCACTCTTCAAACTCCAGTGCATACAAACCTAGCCTGTCCAACCTTTACTTGCAAAACAACCCATCCATTCCAGGCATTGGTCTGGTAAACTTTCTCTGAGTTGCCTCCAAAGCATTTACATGCTTCATTTAATTGGGAGACCATACCAGATATAGTTTCACCAATCCCCTATATAACTGAAACGTAACATCTCTAATTTTGCATTCTCTTCCCCTCACACTCAATGATAACATTCTATTAGCTTTCATAATTACTTGCTATACATGCATACCAACCTTCTGCTGTAGAACATCCAGCTCCCTATGCATCTCAGAACTTTTCAATTTGTTTTGCCCAAATGAGCAATTTCACATTTTTCCACGTTACACTTGATTTGTCCAGACCTGAAACATCAGCCTTCCTGCTTCTCTGATGCTGCTTGGCCTGCTGTGTTCATCCAGCTCTACACCTTGTTATCTCACTTGATTTGTCAGATCTTTGCCCATTCAGTTAATCTTTCAATATCCCTTTGCAGTCTCCTTATTTCTTACTTTTCCATCTATCTTTGTGTTATCAGCAAATTCAGGTAATAATCATGGCCCCTTCATCCAAGACATTTACATAAATTATAAATTATTGAGGGTTTTTTAAATTAATTCATGGGATGTGGGCATCACTGGCTAGCCCAGCATTTAGTTTCCTCCTTAGGTGCCCTTGAGAAAGCAGTGGTGATCTGCCTTCTTGAATTGCTGCAGCTTATGTGCTGTAGGTACACCTCAAAATGTTGTTAGGTAGGGAATTCTAGGATTTTGGTTCAGCAACTCTGAACGCACAGTATTATGAATAATTTACCTTCAATTACATATGAAATATGTAGAACAGTCATACTGGACTGAAAAAGTTACCTGTTTCTCTCTCCACTGAGTCTCTCTGGCATTCTCTGTTTTGGAATCATTTACCACTTTCATTGGTGTATGAAGTGGGTAAATTAGAACATTTTTAAAATTAAAAGCTTGACAACGAAACTGCCTAGCAGTGTTTATAAAATAAACGAAATCAACACAAATTGAAGAGCCTTCCTTCAATAGTGCAATCAGCAGAACCTCACAGTATTAACCTGGGACTTTGTCAACTTTGTACTTTAATCTTAATCCAACATACAGGCTTGTGGAAAATATAAAGCTAAAGTGTTTTTGGCTGCATTGTAATATTAAAACACTCCCATCATTTACACTGATTTGAACACTTCTCTATTACATTGGTATTATTTATGTAAAGGTACAGAAACGCTAACACCATCTTTTTATGTTAGTTAGCCTATGAAGACTGTAAAGATTAGTGTAAAAAAACAAGAGATATACTGTGAAATGATCATATCAGTAATCTGAATTAATACAATTAGTGCTGGAAAACTGCAGAGGAACTAAAATCAGTTTTTTAACTATGTTTTTAAAACTAAATCTGGTGTAATACTGCATTATATTCCTGAATAAAAGCCTAAATGTAAATTAAACAGTCGGGCAATCTTATAAAATGAATAGTCAAATTTGGCAGAGACATTAGGCAGCATTTATTGTCATAGATTGTTAGTTCCTCACCTCTGGGTGCTGGTTGAGTACATATATTTTCTTGCTGTTGCATCTCTTGCACTTTCAGATGCTGCATCATTTGAAGTCTGTGATATAATACAGATACTGCACATTTTACAATACAAAAGACAGGGATTAAAAACTCTATAATTAATCATAGATTGATGTTCAAACAAAATGGTTAAAGTTTGCATGAAAGTATCTGTCACTGTGTTTACTGGTCATACCTGACCCGGAGAATCCACATTGAAGTTAAAATTATGAGTTTTGAGAGAACCGGGAACTGAGTGTGGTGCTGGTGTCACTCGAACTGGACTTGTCCAACCTTAAAAAAATATATTTTGCCTTAATCAGTAATTCTCCACTTAATGTGTCACAATGGCATTCAGTTCAGTTCACTGATAATGAAAGCTATTGAAAGCATTTTGCTGATTAAATTTGTAAAAATGGTGATTCGCAACCATTAATCAGTATATTAACTTTCCTGTTAAGGAAGCATGGAATTAAAAAGGATCATCAAGCCATTAACTAAACTCTCTGTCAGGTCAAATGCAATGTACTATGTTCTGTAATCTAACTGATCAACTGAACCACCTGATTAAAAGTTTGTTATAACCTATTTCAGATCCTGAAACTAAATTCCACAATATTCACAAATCCACTATTTACTGCTACTGCAAGTAACAATATTCTGTTCCTATTTTCTCACCTCATCCCCTCCCTGCCCTTAGCAAAATTCTTACTAAAGTCTTTTCAACTGAATCATTACTGGATGAGTAAAATAAAAACACCAACTCCTAGAAACACTTAGCAGTACAACAACATCTGCAGAGACAGAACTAACATTACATGCCAATGATTTTTCATCAGAACCTCAACAGAAAGAAATAAACAGCTTTTAAGCCAATACAAAGGTAAAGAAAAGGAGTCAAGAAACTAAAAATAAAATGTGATTGGGTAAAGGGCAGGAGTGATTAATTGACAAAAGTGAAATCTTTTTATTCATTGATAGTAGGAACTGCAGATGCTGGAGAATCTGAGATAACAAGGTGTAGAGCTGGATGAACACAGCAGGCCAAGCAGCATCAGAGGAGCAGGAAAGCTGACGTTTCGGGCCTAGACCCTTCTTCAGAA